TGGATGGGACACAGATATAAGAAACCTTTTAAATGTTATTTCTTTTCAATTGAATTACTTGGAAGTCTATTTTATAAGCTTAGGTGGGATTTTAATTTACTTCAGCATATTAAATCAGGAAATAATAATAATAACAATAATAATTTACTATTATTTCAGCTTTCCACTATAGCTTTATTCTACTGGGCAACCTTTAATTTAGATATAAAACATTCAAAAATCAGGATTCTATTGGATAACTAATTGAGTATAATTGCTATTATAGAGTTATTAAAGTCAGATCCTTCCTGGGGGTCTCTGCAAGAGCAGTTATTCCAGAATGCTGTATCTAAACCAAACAGTTTATACCAGTGAAACTCTTTGAAAGCTGAATTTACTACAGTCTCTCCCAGCCCACACATGATCAAACTAACTAACTAACTAACTAAATCTCCCCAATGCCAATAATTGTATATTCTGACATGATTTACAGTGTTCTATTAGTGCACTTACTGTCACTGCCTTTGGGAGAAATGTCCCTGCAAACACAGCACTACTTATAGGAAAACACAAATTATAATACAGATTTTAAGCCTGGCTTTAAATCAGTCTCTGAAATAGCACCTGTACAAATATTTGCAAAAGGAGATTTACAGGAGGGGAAAAATAAAAGGCATTTTCTTCAAGGCTTAAATATGCTGTTGGGTTAATTTGGGAACATTTAATTTAGGAGGAGCACAAGCTGACAAATACACCTGAATCCATGCCGAACTAAAATTGTCAACTGTCAAAAATGGGGAGAAAAATAATATATTTTAAGTCAGTGCTTGAATTTCCTTTAAAATCAGCATCTTAATTCCTCCTGTGAAGATCCTGTTTTGTTCAAGTGTCTGAACCAGTGCTTTGGAAGCCCTAAATGAAGCTCACGCAGATTTGTAGCACCACTGCTTTTTAACTAAAAAGCACAAGTTCCACTTAAAAATTTTACTAAATTAGGGCTTTCATAAGGTATATAGGTATTAAATAAATAAATATTCAGGCAAATCTGGAGATGAGGCGTTATTGTGTGATGAACGCCTGAAAATTTAAAGTTTTGCAATAGATTTCCTCTCTTAAAATGAGAGTTTATTGCACTGACACATTATTGCACCCAAGATTTTGGAATGCTTGTATTCATGCATAGAACCTAATTGTGACAAATTATTTTATGTGGGAAGAATCTGCATAAGTTTACGAACAGATAGGATATATTTTCCAAAATGGTTTCTAGCCACATTTAAGAAATACTTTGAAATAATACATTTCTCTTTAAAATTATGAAAGAATATAATAAACTACTAAGGCAAAGAAACTGGGAAAGACCATTATGGGAAGCATTAATATTTTTAAACAAAATCTCTATTTCCACTAATCAAAATTCATCTTGAAAAGCAGCTTTTCAATAGGCACAGAAAGGCTCCAAAGCCAGGAAAGATGACTGGGAGGCAAATGACACAGTGAAATTATGTCAGTTTTTAAATGTAAATTAATGCTTTGCAGTCCATACCTGGGACTGGACATGTTCTGGGTCTGTGTAAAATTTGCCAATTCCAAAGGATTACAGAATCACCCACAAGAATAATCCAGTCCAACTCCTGGCCCTGCCCAGGACAAACCCAAGAATCCCACCACGTGCCTGATCTGGGAAGAAAATTCTTAGTCAGTAAATCCAGGGAGTTTTGCAATCAACCTCAGTAGATCAATTTTAATCCTAAAGGTGACCTCAAGAGGGATTTTGCATCACCCATCAGTCTTTTTGCACACCTGAGTCAGCCATTTATACACTTGTTTTTTAGGACCAAGGAAAGATTCCACTGGATTCAGCAAACAAAATCAATCTATATTAAAGCATGGAGTTCATATTTTACTTACGAACAAGGCAGGAAAGCTATTCCAGGTGCTGCTTCCTTGGAAACAACTTCTACTTGATCCATGAATCCACAATCACAGAATGGTTTGGGTTGGAAGGGATTTTAACTCCCAGCCCCTGCCATGGATAGGGACATCTTCCACTAGCCCAGGTTGCTCCAAGCCCTGTCCAACCTGGCCTTGGACACTTCCAGGGATGGGGCAGCCACAGCTTCTCTGGGCAACCTGTGCCAGGGCCTCACCACCCTCACAGCCAAGAATTCCTTCCCAATATCCCATCTATCCCTGCTGTCAGGCACTTTGAAGCCATTTCCCCTTGTCCTGTCCCTCCAGGCTCCTGTAAATTGTCTCTCTCCATCTTTCCTGTCAGGCTCCCTTCAGGTTTTGGAAGGACAAGGTTACTATAAAAATCTCAACTAGAAAATACTACAATAATTCCTTCTCAAGATCTTCCTGACTGGGAGTGTTTTCCTTTCTTTGTGTCCACCCAACTGGAAAGAAGTCACAGCACAGTTCTTTTGTTCAAAGTTTATGGATAGTTTGAGTGTGACATTCAGGGAAACACTGGAACAGTTTTTCATGCAATGGAAACAGGTGAAAGAAGAAAATTATTATTTTTGGAAAGAACTTCCTTGGCAAAGTCTCAACTCGATTAATAACTCAGTAATTCCCCTACTCTGTGCAAAGTAGCACAGAAAATATATAAAAGTCATTAGAACAAAGCTCTTATGAAAGGATCTAAATTACAACCTAATCCTTTAATACCTCAGATGAAGAACACTCACAGTGAAGTTCAATTGCTTGAAAAATTCTCAATTGAACAATTTCTGCACTGAATAACTTCTGTATTAGGCAAAGCATTGCTTGGACTTGATATATATGTCCTAAACAGAACAAACATGTCTTTGATCTGCCTTAGTTTATATTGTTTGAATAACCCACTGAAATAAATATATTTCATGAACAGTTTATAATTCAAGTGTGTTTTTTTTTCCTAAAAGCTGAGTTTCTGAAACTAGAATCATCTTCCTTATGAGATAAAGAAATACAAGGTCTTTATGGTATTTCTTTGTAATGTTTAGAAGTAAAAAAACCCAAAACACTTTACCATCAGTGCAATCCATATGTTCACTGTAGAAATTGTGCAGAGCTGTAGTAATCAATAATTACAACTAGCAATATTTATTTCTATTAAAAATTACTAATAACGGATTAATACTTGAGAGTCTCCTATTTTCTGAAACCACCCCAGGGCATCTGTCTGCCCTCACACCAAGTTAACTTCAAGCTGTGCATCTTGAGAGCTGCTAAAAGTACAAGATCCAATCACACAAAACATTTTATCAGCTCACCTGGAATTATTTAAAAAAGTTAAAATTGATAGCTTTTACATGTAATGGAAAATTCAAATCATAGAATTGTTAACTTTGGAAAAGACCTCCAAGATCACCAAGTCCAACTGTCAACCAGCACCACCAGCAAGTTCACCACTAACCCATGTCCTCAAGTGCCACATCCACATGTGTTCTGAACACTTCCAGGGATGGGGACTCCCTGGGCAGCCCATTCCAATGCTTTCCAACCATATCCCTGAAAATATTTTCCCTTATCTCCAATTTAAACATCTCCTGGCACAATTTGAGGCCATTTCCTATCATTTGCAAATGTTACAACAGTGTACAGGAGGGACATGCAGAGTACAAGTTCTTCCAAACGATTGTGGAAACAATAATCCTAAAATTACCTACAGTGAAAAGGTGCCTCCCAGATGGGAGGTGTTGGGTGTACAGGGTCAAAGGGGTCCAACAGAAATATTGCTTCATTAAATCTTACTTGACAAATAAAGCTTGACATCAGGATTGTAATCTCTGAGCATGGTTACTCCTGGTTTACTCAAACCTCCCCCCTTGTTACAGCAGCAGGGCCTTCTTGATTATTTTTAGCAAGATGTCCAATATAAAGCTTGGGGAAATGAATTTAAAAATTGCTGTTAACGACAGTGAACTTTCAACATACCTGTGTGTTTAGCTATTTTTATCTTGGTATGACACCATAATTTATCACTGCATTATTTCACTATATTTAAAAGACATGTCAAAGCTCTGCGTTGTCAGATCCTACTTATCCATAGAGTTTGGAAAGACCCGGAGTTCAGCTGCTGCCATGAGTTTCTACACTTTATATGTTCAGCCTCAACATGAACCAGAATATTCCCCACAACCAGCTGCAGATAAGCACTGAAAATACTTATCTAGATAATGGATTTCAACTCTTTTAGAATACTTAATTCAAATGAACCCACAGCACAGGAATGAAATTCAAAGATTTAAAGGAAGTAATGCAGTTTGAGAATAAAAAGGAAGCTTTGTTCTTGCATCAGAATGTATTAGATCCTGTGATTTGCATGTACAAATAATTCAGCAACATTCACTGGCATTAAAAACACAGCGAGATCAAATTAGAAATGTAATAAAAGGAAATAATAAGAGCTGAAACTGTATAATACATCCATATATTATAAAGATTTGACAAATTAAATACATTTTGGTTATACAGAAAAGTTTCCATAACTTTACATGGAAAAATGGGATGAGGGAAAGGAA